TCCCAATATAAAACGTTCACTGAACTACCTTGATCTACCAGAACTCTATGAACATTTCGTCCTCTCATGATTATGGAGATGACTATAGGGTCATCTTTGTGGGGAATGACATCTAACAAATCTTCATCAGTGAAAGAAATAGCTAGAGTAGCTGGGGATCGAGCTACTGTTGTCGTTGTAAGAATTTGTCGAGCATATCTCTTTCTGGAAGAAGAGGTGGGTCCTCCGCCTGCAAACCCTCCAGCTATGGTATTGAAATCCCCGAGTATAGCTCTTTCATGCTCACTCTCTTGACAGGATGATTCTTTTCCCCTCTTATTAAAGGACGTCCCTGGCTGGTGAGATGGATTGGATAGTCGATTTATCCTGGACATCGATATCTTACCATCTTTAATTAATTGATCCATTTGGTATTTTAGCGTTTGACATTCTTCCGTGTCATGTCCTCGAGCTCGATGAAACTCACACCACACATGCTGTTTGGGACCTAGTTGTTTATGGGTAAATCGAGGGAAATCAAGGAGTTTAGTTGTGATTACTTCTTGCAGGAATTCTTTCTTTGACACGTTATGTGGGTTAGGTTGTTGTTGGCATTGTCTGGTATTGGGCTCCGTGATTTGTGGATTAGGAATTCTGCGTTTGTCATAAGGGTGATAACTCCTTTGGCTATGCGACCCTTTCACATTTTGGGACCAAGAGGGTTTTACTGCATTATCTTGTTGTAACTCCAATTGTTCGACCACATGGCGTCGACAAATTGTTTGGTCGACCTCAATATGAGATGTGGTTCGGGCCCGAACTTGTTTCATTGTTCTGCATGGATGTCTGTATAAAGATTCCATGAAAGAGCCCGATCTTAACCCTTTCATAAAAGCATCCACAAACATGATTTCATTGGGAGGTAAGATCCTAACGGTCATGCTACCAAATCGGTGCAAGAACGCCCTTAAGGATTCGTTTCGTCCTTGCCGCATATCAAACAAATCACTCGTCTTAGGGGCTCTTTGTTTATTAGCAGCAAAATAGGCCACAAAAACTTTAGCCAAGTCATCGAAACTAGATATTGACTGTTTAGGGAGACCACTGAACCAATCTAACGCAATTCCCCATAAAGTACCTACAAAAACTTTACAAAGCACGACATCAGACCCGCCGCTGATGATCATTTGGGCCCTGAAGGCCTTCAAATGTGCCAATGGATCTTGGGTTCCCGTAAATCGATCAATTTTAGGAGTAATATAATGTGGCGACAGAGGCTCGTCCATGATGGCCTAAACGAAAGGCTAAAAATCTTTCTCCACTATTTCTTCTTCGTTGTCACTTGAGGTGGATCGGATCTGTTGCCCGATGGCTGCTTGCAACTCCTCATTCCGTCGTCGCAATTCATCCTGCACCTGAGATGCTTCTGTTGCCATACGCTGTGCCTCCTCAGTCTGTCAGCGCAATTCCTCCATTTGTTCAAGGATAGTTGCATTGTCGAGTTGTTTGAGTCAACCCCATTAGGGTCTTGATTGTTGCGATTACTGGTACGAGACACCATGGTCGTGTTTTCTATTTCTTTTGTGGAGTAGGAAAAATTTTACCTGCCCCACGGTGGGCGCCAATGTTCTGGAATAAAAGAGAGATGTCCCCGTTAGGTTTTTTTCCTTCCCCTTTTTATCCTCCTTTTTCATTAACCCTTCAGTTTGTTTTTATTGATTCCCATATTATCGGCCCAGATACCGCCTCATTAAAACCACCCCGGTAAGCTCGGTCTTCCTTTATGGACCTATTTGGCCCACTACTAATACTTGAATTTGGACTCCCTCGGGCCCAAACTATATTTATGCACCAAGTAATCATATTTACATTAAAAAGTAAGAGCTATATTAAATATAATTATATTTAACTTAAGAATTCAATTATATTGTTGCACTTTCATTACTAAAAATACTATATAGATAATATTTAAAATAATTACTAAGGTTTCTTAGACTAATTAATCTAATTGAAATAATTATTACAATATAATTACTACTGAATTATTATCTGATACAACCTCCTAATTTAACAATCAATTTAAAATTGATATTCTTTTTCGATTTTTTGAATCTTCCATTATTCAAAGGTTTCGTCGATGTTCCTTTCGTCATACTTGTAACAGTTATAATATTATACATTATTCTTACTCATACCAGAGCTTAATCAATTACCTCTCCATTATGAGTTTCTACCTCTGTCACCTCTTAGCACTCATGTTTTCCTTCTAAGCATCGTCCACCCATTTTTTTACCTTCTCCTTTTTCTCGATCTCTCTTGTTCGATTTTCTTCGATTTTTTTCATTTTTCTGGTTTTGTTTCATTAGCAACACTTGTTCTGTGTTAGACCTTTCTTCCGCTCTCTCACGTTATTGTTGTTCGTGAACCTCCAATGATCTCTGTAGTTCATAAAGTTTAAACAAATCGAGATCCTTAGATTTTTCAATAACTACAAAAATTATGTAAAATCTAGCATCAAGGATTCTCCCAACATCTTCTCAACCACTGCTCATTCTTTCAAGCTTTCACCACAAGACTTCATCAAATTTGTGATTGATAATAATCTTGCAAATGATTCTTGGATGGTTTCTTGCATCTCCTTCTACAACAACTCATACTGATGACACAAGGTTTGAAGTCGCACCTCCTTCAACCTCTCTCCGCCTGGATAACAATGCTCCAGTATATCCCATACTTCTTTCGTCGAGTTTGCTGTCAAAATCTTCTCAAAATTGCTTTCTTCAACTCATTGATAAATATAGAACATAGCTTTGCAATCATGTTTCTTTTTCTCTCGAAACGTCGCATGTTGTGTCTCGGGAGATTATCTGGTAGCCCCTTATATTCATTTAGAACTACGTCTACTTGAAAATAAAAAATGACCTTCATCTTAGGTTCTTGTTATCAAGCACTGGTATCTTGTCGTGCAACTCAATTTCCGTCTTCATCATTATTAGTGAAAAAAATCTATAAACAAATATCGAGAGTATCAAAATAAAAAAATATATTAAATATAATTATATTTAATATAAAAACTAAATTATATTATTGTACTTTTTTATTACTAAAAATAGTATATACACACAATATTTAAAATAGTCACAAAAATTTATTAAGCTAGCTATACAATACTAAATCAAATAAACTAACAATCTAATTAAAATAATTGTTATAATATAATTATTGAAACTAATCTAACATCATCCAATAATTCTTTAAGAATATATTATTAATCAAATCACGAACGTTTTCTTGAGTACATCAAAGAATATATAATTCACACAGGAAAATGTGTAACCTATGTCGTGCACGAAAAGACGATCATGAATGCCCTTTATAAACTCTTTTTTGTCATAAAATACAAGGAAAAAGATTAAAGCTTAACAATGAAGCAAAACATAAACTATTGGCTACAGTAATATTGTGATCAATATCCTCTGCAGAATGACTTGCGGTGCCTGCTAAATCATATATGAATCTGGAAGATTAAGTACTGTTTCGACGCCCACATTCTCTGCAAGGTGTCAGGAAATTGCCATAGTTTTGCATGCTAACCTACTGCATTTTTCCTGCAAATGCATCTGTACCACTTCTTAGCCTAATTTCTTATGCGAGATGATGTAAAAATAAAGATAAATATTGTAAAACTCTAGAGAATATCATCTTATGTTTTCTTTATCTTTATCATCTTTTCTCTAATGTGGCTCCAACCCTTTATCTACATTTCTGTGGGAAAATAGTAACATCTAGTAGTGTTTGAATTTGGAGATAAATCTTTTTTCTTACTTTTTTTTTTTTGGTTTAACTGATTTGAAATGTATGTGCTAACAATAATAATAATAAGTTACACACTGGATGGTAATGGCTCGAACTTTTTAGCTTATGTTTTTCTACTACCAAATATATTAGTTGTATATTTTGTAATGTTTTTTAAGTCATAAACTGTCATATGATGAAACAATCTAAGCCAAGAGACCATTGATTTGTCCACGCCAGGTATTAACGGAGAAGGAACTTTTGTCGTAAAAGCCCGTTTGTTTTAAGTGTTTAAATTATGAATTTAATACCCATGCATTTTTATTGTTAAAGCTTCTAGAGTTTAATTTTATGCGATATTAATTTTACTGTGTTAGAAAACATATTTAAATAATACTATAACTTTTCTTAAAAAAAAAAACACATTAATGGCTCAAATTTTTATGTATTTTATATGGATGAAAAAAATAGTATTTTTAAAGATAGCTAGTTCATTAAAATATAAAAAATTACCATAAATAATTTTGTTCAAAATATTGTGAAACATTAAATGTAGATACTTTTTTCAATGAAAAAAAAACCATGGTTGATAGCATTACGAGGATATAACCCTTTCTCATGCATATACTCAAACCTCATTGGTACTACAATTTATATATACATATATACCCAATATAAAAAAATCGTCGTACTATTAATGCGTTTTATATTTAAAATTATTATCTTAAATTAATTAATATAGATATTTAAATTAGTTTTAGTCACAAATTCTGTATTAAAATATGCAGATTCTGTGAGGAACTAATTTTTGATGTACGGTAAATAAGACGAAAATAAAATAAATGCTGTTAACTTATAAAAGATATTTTTTATATTTATAGTTTTACTGTAAAATGTTTTTAAACATTTAACCAAAACATACATAATTCAAATGTCATGCATGTAAAATTATTATTTTTTAAAATAATAATATCAAAAGTAATATTTTTTAATAAACTGCCAGTGCAAAAAATTGTGTAAATACGACCCTGACACGCTAAGAAAATTAGAGTTAAAAAATAATAAATAACCTTTTACGAAAGGTAATCGATTTCAATCTCTGGCTTTTTGTTGGTGCCCTTCCAACACGGGACAAGCTTAGTTCTATATGTTAGTGTTCTCTCACATACACTAACATTTTTCAGTCTCCTCAGAACACGTTTTCCTGAGCAAAATTTTCGTCAACGATGGCTATCACCCCTCACTTTCTTGTTATACCATATCCAGTTCTAGGCCACGTGAATCCCCTTATCCACTTGTCTCAGATTCTGGCCAAACATGGCTGCAACATCACTTTTCTGAACACAGAGTTCAGCCACAAACGGTTGAACAACACTGGTGCTGGCCTTGACAATCTCAAGGGATCAGGGATAAAGTTTGTGACACTCCCAGATGGGTTAGGCCCTGAAGATGATAGAAGTGACCAGAAGAAAGTTGTTCGTTCAATCAAAACCAACATGCCCTCTATGCTTCCCAAGCTTATACAAGATGTGAATGCTTTAGACGTAAACAACAAGATCACTTGTATGGTAGTCACATTGAGTATGACTTGGGCCTTGAAAGTTGGTCACAATTTGGGAATCAAAGGGGCTCTTCTATGGCCTGCATCAGCAACTTCTCTGACCTTGTGTGATTGCATCCCAAGACTGATTCATGATGGGGTTATAGATCCATATGGTAAGAGTAATAACATTAACTGATTCTTGTTATACATTATAGTACTTCTTATGTCAATTTTGAGAGATTACTAATCATATATTAAGGAGGGGTTTCATGGTTTTTTGGTTTTTGGCATTGAAGGAATCCCTGGCAGAAGACAGAAAATTCAACTCTCCCCAAATATGCCTTTGATGGACACAGAAAACTTTCCATGGCGTGGCCATGACAAGTTACACTTTGATCATCTTGTGCAAGAGATGCAGACCATGAAGTTAGGAGAATGGTGGCTTTGCAACACAACTTATAATCTTGAGCCTGCAGCGTTTTCCATATCACCAAGGCTCCTGCCAATTGGTCCATTGATGGCAAGTGATAGCATCAAAAGTTCATTCTGGGAAGAAGACACATCTTGTTTGGAGTGGTTAGATCAGCAGCTACCACAATCTGTTGTGTATGTTTCCTTTGGTAGTATGGCCGTAATGGACCCCAACCAATTTAATGAGTTAGCTCTTGGAATTGATCTCTTTGACAAGCCTTTTGTTTGGGTTGTACGTGCAAGTAATGACAACAAGGTAAATATTACTACATACCCTCGTGATTTTCATGGAAAGAAAGGTAGAATTGTGGGTTGGGCACCACAGAAGAAGATATTGAGCCACCCTGCAGTGGCTTGCTTCATTAGTCACTGTGGTTGGAATTCTACTGTGGAAGGTGTATGCTGTGGCACACCCTTCTTGTGCTGGCCATTTGCAAAAGATCAACTTGTTAACAAGTCATACATATGTGATGTTTGGAAGGTTGGAGTAGGATTAGACAAGGATGAAAATGGAGTGATATCAAAGGAAGAGATAAGGAAGAAGGTGGAACAATTACTTGGGGATGAAGATGTAAAAGCAAGATCACTGAGAATGAAAGAATTGACCATGAATAACATAGCCAAAGGTGGCCAGTCTTCAAAAAATCTAGAAAAGTTTATCAACTGGGCACAGTAATAATACATTGGGCAATATTTTTGTATTCGAAGTTTTTTTTTATTTATTTAAATGTTTGAAATTTATTTCGTCCACGCATTTATGTACTAGACAACTTAATCTACGATGTTCGGAGCTGTCGTATACATCCCATTTGCATTATGAAACTCGTTCAATGAATCATGTGTCCCCTTCATTCATTATTACTAACCTTTCGGGTTGTGTTACATAATTGTAGCTTTCAATAATTTCTTTTGGTTTCATTCAGCTAACTCCAGTCATAACAGAGTAAGCCCAAAGGCTTGCTTATTGTTCGAAACAAAACAGGTTTTACAAACAAGTTTCTCTTACGTATACACTTCATCATGACTTTTCTTGAAGAGCCTTCTTGATTAGCTGAACTGTGAATAGTTTGCTAATGACATGAATGCGTATGCACTTACGATATGAATTAAGAAAAGTATATAAAAATATAGTACTATTATTATTGTACGCTATGCGAAATAAAGAAGTATTGTAGTAGCATACAAAAAACAATTATGTTCTCGTATAAAAGTAGTTGATACTTCTGACTTTTGTCAGTGGCTGGAGTTCCTTGTAAAATTTCACAAGTACCGTACAAAACAATTTACACCATGTGATGACCCTCATACAAAATTATAGTCAACGAGGGATTGGAAGAAGAAATTTCACACTTTTGTAATTAGTAAATTACTTTGGTTTTGATAAACTAAATTGAACGATGTCAATTCATGAAAGCATGAGCCAACTTGGAGAAATCACTTTCCATAAACAAAAGTTTCATAAAAAAACTGTTACGCCCCTCAATAAAATCCAACTCAAACTCTTGGATATTTCATATTCCTCATATTTCTTTTCCATCAAATAATTTTCAACCAAATGGGAATCCCTCACTTTCTTGTTATACCATATCCAGTTCAAGGGCACGTGAACCCCCTTATGCAATTATCTGAGGCTCTAGCCAAACACGGTTGCAAAATCACATTTCTGAACACTGAGTTCAACCACAAACGAGCAAATAGCTGTGGTGGAGGGTTAGACAGTCTTAAAGAACAAGGGCTGAAGTTTGTGACACTCCCAGATGGCTTGGACCCTGAAGATGATAGGAGTGACCATCACAAAGTTCTCGTATCTATCAAAACCAACATGCCTGCTCTGCTTCCAAAGCTCATACAAGATATCAATGCTTTGGATGTTGAAAACAACATCACCTGCATAGTTGTCACAATGAACATGGGTTGGGCCTTGCAAGTTGGCCACAAATTGGGAATTGAAGGGGCTGTTCTATGGACTGCATCTGCGACTTCCTTGGCAACATGCTATTGCATTCCAAGGCTCATTGATGATGGAATTATTGACTCAGAAGGTAAGAATAATATTTCCTGATTTTATTACATTGGTTCTTTTTCATCGGTAGTTGCAAAATGAATTTTATCAAGCTAGATATCTAAATTTTCCAAAATTAAGGAACTACACTTTTGTCTCACATTTTTGGAAGGTTAAAGTGCTGACCATGACCAAATTATATGCTATAAATGCGCACACGAGCATTTATTTCTCTTAACTAATTCTTCCAACTGAACATATGATCTTGAACCATCTAATAATTCACCACCCAAATAACCTTTGTCAGTAAAGATTTCTTGTTTCTGATTTTAATTTGCAGTAAAATCATACAAGCAATTTTCAACAATAGAAGTGTCCTGTCATATGGAAATTTCATATTGATTAATGACAAATTAATAAATTATTAGGTTTTTATCGGACTATATTGTGAAGGTTTACACACTCGGAAGTGCTGTTCTTTTGATTTAGAAAGCCAAAATGCATGAAAGAATATATGAGAAACTCCTTCCATTGCAAATGCAGGAATTCCCACCAAAAAGCAAGAAGTTCAGCTTTCCCCAAATATGCCTAAGATGGTTGGTGCAGACTTCCCATGGGGTGGCCTAGGTAAGATATTCTTCCCTTATATAGTTAAAGAGATGAAAACTTTGGAGTTAGGAGAATGGTGGCTTTGCAACACTACTAGTGATCTTGAGCCTGGAGCACTTGCCACATCACCAAGATTCCTCCCAATCGGACCATTGATGGAAAGTGACACAAACAAAAGCTCATTCTGGGAAGAAGATACAACTTGCCTAGACTGGTTGGATCAGCAGCCACCTCAATCTGTTGTATATGTTTCCTTTGGAAGTTTAGCAACTGTGGAACCAAACCAATTCAAAGAACTAGCTCTAGGACTTGATCTCCTAAATAGGCCTTTTCTTTGGGTAGTACGTCCAAGTAATGATAATAACAAGGTAAACCATGCATACTCTGACGAGTTCCATGGATGTAAAGGTAAAATTGTCAATTGGGCACCTCAGAGGAAGATATTGGACCACCCTGCCATAGCTTGCTTCATTAGTCACTGTGGTTGGAATTCCACTATAGAAGGTGTATGCAGTGGCATACCTTTCTTGTGTTGCCCATTTTTCTCTGACCAATTTGTTAACAGGTCATATATTTGTGATGTGTGGAAGGTTGGACTGAAATTAGACAAGGATGAAAATGGATTAATATTGAAGGGAGAGATACGGAAGAAGGTGGATCAACTTCTTGAGAATGAAGACATTAAAGCAAGATCACTGAAACTGAAGGAATTGTCCTTGAAGAACTCGGTAAAAGGTGGTCAATCGTCAAAGAACCTCGAAAAGTTTATTAACTGGGCCAAGTAATAATACCATCGGCAACAGTTTGGATCAAAAGTTTACTTTCTCTGTTTTTTCTTAAATTTTATGTCTGAAAGGAAACTTCTGAATGTGTAGTATTGTTTCACTTAATTGGTTACAACTTATAATCTTGATAAATGTCCGTCGATTCAGTTGGTTGACAACATTTTTCTGAAAACTGTATCCGACCATTCTCAAATGACAAAAAGTTAACTCACCAAATTTTATTATCCAACCATAAACAGCAGGTTCCACCCCCCTGTTGGGTCCAAAATACTCACTGCGATTTTCTTTTTTTCCTTGTTTCAAAGATTACCCAATGGCATGTGTTAATATTCTGTAAAATATACAGTGAAATTTTAATACATGACCATTCTTTTCTTTTTCACAAGAATTCATTCCATATATTCAGTTTATCTCATCTTCCATCTTTCAAGCTTTGATTATCTTTTCCCCTCATCTTTTAATTCCTCACTCTGTGAGAGATTTTGGTGGGTGTGTTTAACTTACGCAAGCTTTTAATTAACATAGAAATTTAATAAGATTTGGTTAATTTATGATTCACTTTAGCCATTTATTTAACCATAGCATAATTTTTTTAGATTTTTGTAGAAAAAAGTTATGAACTAAAATCATAATTTTAATAGTTTTGTGACATCCTTTTATCATTTAAAATAAACCTTACCATTGATTCCTTTAGAAATGAGCTTGATGGATATTAGATTGAGACTTTAATTTTTTTAATTTTCTTTAGAAATTTTGGAACTTATGAAAAAAAAACTAAAATTTTCTTATAATTGTAGTTTTTTTTACTTAAAAATATATTTCTGAGAAATTTATGTCTATACATGAAATTTATACATGAAATTTCGATAAAAAAAAGTAATGAAAAGAAAGAAAGATAAGAAAAACAAAACATAACATAACGACGATACATGATAGAGAAAAATAATATTATAAAAAATATTGTCGACTTTTTTTGCACAAATAAAATTTCTTGATTTAATAATTTTTTTGGGTAAACAAAATAATATTTATTGTTACGTGTGGTTTCTATTTTTATAAAACAAGAAAAAAAATCGCAATTAATGTACATTGGCCAACAATTAAAAAAAAAAGAATAATTTTATTTGTGAGTAGAGAAGCATTTCTTGAGACACACGTACTTGAAGAAACACGTGACTCAACTGACATTTCTGCTGCTGAGTGTAAAATCAGACAACTTAAAAGTACTCATTTTGACGAATTTCTTGAGACCCACGTATGGCTTCAAGAAACGAGTCAAAGAAAAGAAACCAACTGGTTCAAGCAAGCGAATAACATTTAAAAATAGACACCAATTCCATTTTTCTTTTGCTTTCTCTTTTCCACGTTATATAATATTTTATATTTCCTAATGTCTATGATTAGCAAATGAGTGTCCTTGTGGATTATTTTTCTTACAGTTACCAAACAAGTTATCATTTGCATGTATGTACAAATAACTTCCCACTCAGCAAAAAACAACGATTTCATACCTTTTGCTACAACAGACATGAATTGTCCACATTTTCTTGTTATGCCTTATCCAATTCTAGGGCACATGAATCCACTCCTGCATTTCTCTCAAGTTTTGGCCAAGCATGACTGCAAGATAACCTTTTTTATCACCGAGTTCAACCAAAAGAGAATGAAGAATGCAATTGACCACTTTGGAACTCAGATAAAGTTTGTCGCACTCCCAGATGGTTTGGATCTAGAAGATGACAGAAGTGACCAGCCAAAGGTTATTTTGTCCCTCAGAAACACCATGCTGTAAGATTCTCAAGCTCATACAAGACACCAATACTTTGGATGGCGATGAGAGTAAATGATAAAAGATTAAAGATCTTGAGTCAAGGAATTTATGGGTTAAGGATTGAGGTGTTTATAAAATATATATGTAGATATAAACTTCTATTTATTTCTACAGAATAAAAATGTCTTTAATAATTTTAATTTGTTAAAAATTATTTTAATTGATTAATTTGTTTTTGAGTTTCTGAATTAACTAATATATTTACATATTAATTTATTAAAACAAGTTAAATACACTTTTGACATATTTCTAATTGATGTATTTTCGAAATAATCAATTAAAATCATCTAAAGCATGTACGGTTTTCATTTTAACTGATATATCTTCAATTTAATTAATTAAAAAATTTAAAAAAGTTTTAGAAAATATTTTGTTAGTATTTTAATCGATTAAATCTCAAATTAATCTATTAAAATCCCTTAAGAAGTTTCTGGTTAAATGTTTTAATCGATCAATTCAAATTTTTATCAATTAAAAACACTCAAGATGATTTAAGAAATGTTCTATCAGTTTATTAATCGATTAAACTTCGAATTAATTGATTAAAATCACTTAAAGAATTTATGTTCAAATGTTTTAATCGATTAAATAACGTTTTTATAAGTTAAAATTATTTAAGAAGTTTTTTAAAATCTTCTACCAATATTTTAATCTATTAAAATACGAATTAATCGATTAAAATATTTAAAGGACTTTTTGCATAATTGCTTAAATTGTATTTGTATAAGTTAAAATCTTTTTTGAAAAGTTTGTAGAACACTTTAATCGATTAAAAGATATTTTAATCAGTTAAAACAGTTAGAATCAAGATTTTTTTAATCGATTAAAAGACGAATTAACCGATTAATTAAATCAATTTGTTAAAAAAAGTCTCTATATATACAAATTTGATTCAATGCTTTAAAATACATCTTTTAGAAATCATTCAAGCAATCAATGAAGATTAGAGAAGCACACTATTTTCAGTGAAAATTTTCGAAGTTCTTTCTTGAAATATTTTTGTATTCTTACTTGTGAAGAAACTCATATTGCAGTGAAATTTCTGCATTTGGATAACCGGATTTGATTATGATTATTCTAGTTTCTTCATTTTTTGTCTTCATTTACATAACTAGATTTGATTATTCTAGTTTCTTCATTTTTTTCTTTTCTATTTTGAATCTGTGTAGTCTTAGTGTCTGAAAGGTTGAACACTATTTCTACAACTAAAATTTGATTGCAGGTTAAATTCAAGAATTGAAATTTGATTCTTGGTGGTTGGGTGTTTTGTAATTCTGTTATTTAAAATAAATTCAATCTAATAAAATTCAACTGAAATTTGATTGAAAATAATATAATATTATGGATGAACCAGTATAATTCTTGGTGTTTTTTTTTTTTTTTCATCTTCTTTAAATTTATTTGAACATTATTCATTTCTGACTTGTTTTATAGGTTCATTTCTTAATCTGATTTCTTAATATTTGAAATTGTTAATATGTATCTCTAAAGTGTGGAAAGTTTTCAAAACTCAATTTACCCCTTCTTAATCTCATCTTATAATTCTATCACGCATTATCACTTGTCTGGTTGTTTCTAAGAACATAGCATGGGCCTTGGAAGTTGGACAGAAATTGGGAATCAAAGGGGCTCTTCTGGGGCCTGCATCAGCCACTTCATTGGCCTCTTTTAAGACTTGAGGTGTGTTATCCAAGGAGGAAGGTTTCCACCAACTTCAAAGTAAGGTCTTTCAGGTACTTCAAGGTGCAATTACGAAATGAGGCTGCATGAACCACATTAATTTTCAGTTAGAGAAATTACAGATAACCTTTGGATGAAGACAGGGAGAGAGAGAGAGAGAGTACCGTGTCTACACTGACTGGTTTACCATCCTCTGCTATACCTGAGATATTGTTCCTGATTGATCAGCCTGGAAAGCCATGAAAGAAAACCAAGTAATTACAATTTTTTATTGGTTATATAAATAACTGGGGCAGGTGCAGCTGAATAAAGATGGAAATATATGCAAGGAACTAAAACTGTTCCACTGTGCGTAAAGTTTCTTATAGGTTTGCTTTTTTTGTGTGCTCTATGCTTAGGGAAACTTTTATTCAGACTTATGTATTTTACTATATCCGACTATGATGCAAAATAAGAATGGGACATGTCTCCATAATAAAGGGGAAGGAAAAATAAGATAGAATAATATACAGAACTTGCATAGAAAGGACAATACACATACTTCAATTTCATTCATCAGTTTCATATCCTCAATAATGCAAAGAGTCTGCCCTTTCTGCACTTTATCTCCCACCTGAAACACAGAAACAGCAAGAAAAGAATAAGTGTCTGTTTCCGTTAATGGAAAGAGAAAAAAATTATTAGAGTAGATTTTTAAATAAATTTCTGAAAGTAATACCTCTTTTCACTTTAAAATAACAAAAAAAAAAAAACATTTTAAAGGTGCTTTAGTTTTCTGTTATTCAAGTTCTTCTTACACTACCCTATCTTCATCCCTTAACCCTACTATCTAATAGTTTTTTACAATTGTCTTATAAAATAGTTTTCAAAATAAAAACAAAATCATGCACACCCTAAGGATATTCATTAATTTATTGAGCAAACATGATAATGGTTAGCAGTAATTACCCAGTAGAACGATTTGTAATTCAACACCTCAAAAGAAGTTCACTATTTAAATTACATTTGCTTATACAGTAATACTGATACGTACCTTGACAAATGCAGGTTCGCCAGGTGCTGGACTTTGGTAAAAGGTTCCTGCCATTGGACATTTTAGCGGTGGATGAGATTATCTGCTCTCTTTTGCAGGAGCTGCTTCTGAAGATGGAGGACTTGCAGGAGCAGAAGTAGCGACCGATGGTGGTGGTGTTAGCAGAGGCTTTGTGGGATATGGAAATGGTTGTGATGCTGGATCTACAAATGTAGCTGGTGGAGGCTGCAAAGCATCCTTTTTCCTTATCATGAGTTCACAGTCTGCTTGCATAAGTTGCCGCTCCAAAATATCTCTAGAGTCCACAAGTCTTCCCACAAAAGTAATTTTTTTTAGTATAATATATACAAATGTTTCGTATAGTAATATTGATATAAGCAAAAAAGGCAAACATGGAAGTTTAGACTTACTTCATAAGATCAGAGACTTGGTTCATAAATGCAGAGATTGAAGATGCATTAGCAGGACTAGAGGCTTTTCCATAATGATTGTCTTTCTCTTCTGGTGGAGCAACTTTCGGTCCATTGACCTGTGTGCAGGTGCAAAATTTTCAACAGCAACAGCCTATGACACACGCAGAGTGGGGTGATTTATGGTTATTCTCAAATATCTTATGAAAAAATAATTCGCACAGAAGGATTAGCAAATTCTGACCTCTTTTGGTTCTGCTTGAAGCTTGCACTCAGAAAATTGCTTCCTGTTAAGGCACTGCTGGACGTAACAATAACAATGAACATATAACAATCAGAAAGAAAAATATAGCTGCAAAATTCCTGACATAAGTTTATTATTAGCACACAAAAACATCAAATACAATGGAAACAATGCACTACTTCTGGTTATAACTTGCTGAAAATTTGTGTCATTGCCATGTGAGGAAACTAAATGTGGATATGAGCATATTATTTAAGCGTAAAAAATACAAGGTATTTTTAACTATAAAGTTGAATGTAATGTGAAGAAAGAAGTCCCACATCGGTGGGAACTTCAATTGGGGGGCTCTCCTCCTTCTTATAAAAGGAGCCCCTCCCTCCTTATTTCAATATCCCAAAATTTCTTTCCTTCTCTAAGTATTAGAAAGTGTTGTCATTTTTAGGACTAGAGAAGGGGTATGTAATTTTTCTTTCTATTATAAAATTTCCACTTTTGTCTATTATTGTTATTCAATTTTTCTCTTCTCTATTTTAGTTGAGTTCTTGTGCAAGTAGTCTGATACCTAACAGTGGTATCAGGTAAAATTCTGAGTATGCTCTGTGGTTGCGGTTTAATCTGATCTTCCACATCAGTTTAATCTGATCTTCCACATCAGAAAAGAGTTGTTACTGGAAAAGGTGTAGTAGTGTGAAACTGTTGTCTGGGGAAGTTCTGGCTAGGAAAGATTTGGTACTTAAGTGTGTCCATTAGTGACTCGGTCTACTACTATTGTTCCAGTAGACAATACTATTCATAAGTGAGAGTTGCATAAGTGGAAACACAACCATGGCAGCAAAGTATGAGATAGAGAAGTTTAACGGGAACAATTTCTCGTTATGGAAATTAAAGATGAATGCAATTTTGAGAAAGGACAATTGTCTTGATGCAATTGAAGGAAGACCCGCAGAAATGACGGATCAGAAGTGGAAGGAAATTGACAGCAACGCTATTGCAAATTTACACTTGGCAATGGCAGACTCAGTTCTATCCAGTGTTGCGGAGAAAGATTCTGCAAAGGAGATTTGGGATGCCCTCATTAAATTATATGAGGTGAAGTCACTTCACACAAGGATATTCCTGAAGAGGAAATTCTATACTCTTCGGATGAGTGAGTCCACATCGGTGACGGATCACATCAACCACCTGAACACCTTGTTTGCCCAATTAGCAGCAGCAAATTTCAACATAATTGAGAATGAGCGTGCAGAGCTTTTACTTCAGAGCTTGCCAGACTCGTATGATCAACTCATCATCAACATTACAAATAATAATATTGAAGGACAACTACACTTTGACGATGTTGCCGGAGCTATTCTAGAAGAAGAATCTAGGCGAATGAATAAGGTAGAAAGTTCTAAACAAGCAGAAGTTTTGACGATGATGAGAGGAAGATCAATGGAACATGGCTCAAGTGGGAGTCAAGATCATGGCAGATCGAGCTCTCGAAACAAGAAGACTTTCAAATTTAAATGCTACTACTGTGGCAAGAAAGGGCACACGAAGAAAGAGTGTTGGAAGAGGAAGAATGAAGAATCAACCTCACAGGGTTGCGTTGCGAGTACTTCAGAGGAAGGAGTAATTCTGGTAAGCGAAGCAGCAATCAGCTCTAATGGTGGAAACGAATTTCATGACAAGTGGATAATGGATTCAGGTGCAACTTGGCACATGACCCCACACCGAGATTGGTTTCAAACCTATGAGCCTATCTCAGGTGGATCCATGTTCATGGGAAATGACCATGCATTAGAGATTGCTGGAGTTGGTACTGTCAAATTAAAAATGTATGACGGTACTATTCGTACAATCCAAGAAGTACGACATGTGAAGGACTTGAAGAAAAATATATTGTCTATAGGACAATTGGATGACCTCTAGCTGCAAGATCCATGTTGAAGGAGGAATCTTAAAGGCAGTGAGGGGAAACATAGTTGTCATGAAAGCGAGAGAAAATCATGGCAAACTTGTATGTGCTTATGGGAGACACCTTGCAAGAAAATCATGCAACAACCTGCGTCAACAAGCCAAGAAGAAGCGGCGGTAACGTGGCACCGTAGACTTGGACATATGTCGGAGCGAGGTCTCGCAGATTCTTGCGGAACGTGATCTCATACCTGGGTTCAAGAAGGTCGATTTACCCTTCTGTGAGCATTGTGTGACAAGCAAACAACACAGGTTGAAGTTTGCAAGAACCACCACAAGGAGTAAGCAAACTTTGGACTTGATCCATTCGATGTCTCGGGAATCGCCGAATTATCTCTTGGAGGAGCAAAATATTTTGTGTCGTTCATCGATGACTACTCGAGGAGATTATGGGTATACCCTATCAAGAAGAAGTCTAAAGTATTTGCGCGGTTCAAAGACTTCAAAGCACAAGTAGAACTTGAGACCGAAGGAGAATCAAGTGTTTGAGGACGGACAATGGAGGAGAATATGTAGATGGAGATTTTCTAGCATTCTGCAAGCAAGAAGGAATTGTGAGACAATTTTCTGTTCCACACACGCCTCAGCAGAATGGTGTAGCAGAGCGGATGAATAGAACTCTTCTAGAGAGAACCAGAGCTATGCTGCAAATTGCAGGCATAACAAAGTCTTTTTGGGCAGAAGCCGTGAATACTGCCTATTACTTGATAAATCGGTCTCCATCAACAGCAATTGGGTTGAAAACTCCTATGGAAATGTGGAGTGGAAAATCAACCGATTATTCTTCCTTACATGTGTTCGGTTGTCCCGCGTACGTGATGTACAACACCCAAGAAAGGACGAAGTTGGATCCAAAATCTAGGAAATGCATCTTCTTGGGATATGCTGACAATGTGAAGGGGTATCGCTTGTGGGATCCCACTGCCCACAAAGTTATTGTTAGCAGAGATGTCGTCTTTGCAGAAAATGAACTGCAAAGCAAGCAGATAAATGACAGCTCGGAAAAGGACAAGACTATAGTACAGATAGAGAAGAAGACTTCGGAACATTCCTCTGAGTCAGAGGAGGAGCATGAAGAACATGAACCAAATGAGGTGGAAGAAGGAGAACTCCGACGATCAACAAGAGAAAGAGTCAGACCATCTTGGCATTCACAATATGTGATGGCAAGTCATGATGCGTATTGTCTCCTAAGTGAAGAAGGAGAACCTTCAACTTTTCAAGAGGCCGTGAGTGATTCAGAAGCTCCTCTATGGATGACTGCTATGGAAGAAGAAATTGAAGCCATTTATAAAAACAAGACATGACATCTTGTGGAACTTCCAAAAGGTCGCAGAGCCATTGGTTGCAAATGGGTCTATAAGATCAAGAGAGATGCCAATGATCAAGTGGAAAGATATCGTGCTAGACTGGTGGTAAAAGGATATGCTCAGAAAGAAGGCATTGATTTCAACGAGATATTCTCACCAGTTGTTAGATTGACAACAATCAGAATTGTCCTGGCGATGTGTGCTGCATTTGATTTACATCTTGAGCAATTGGATGTAAAAACTGCTTTTCTTCATGGAGAACTTGAAGAGGAAATATATATGCTCCAACCAGAAGGCTTCAAAGAGCAAGAAAACTTGGTTTGCAGGTTGAACAAATCTCTATACGGTCTAAAGCAGGCGCCAAGGTGTTGGTATAAGAGATTTGATTCCTTCATTATTAGCCTCGGATACTACAGATTAAGTTCGGACCATTGTACTTACCACAATAGGTTTGAAGAAAATGATTTCATCATATTGTTGTTGTATGTGGATGACATGTTGGTGGTAGGCCCTAACAAAGCTCGAATCCAAGAATTGAAGGCACAATTGGCTAGGAAGTTTGATATGAAGGACTTGGGACCAGCAAACAAGATTTTAGGGATGCAAATTCACCGAGACAGAAAAGATAGGAAAATTTGGCTTTCTCAAAAGAATTATTTACTTAAGATCTTGCGGCACTTCAACATGCAAGATTGCAAGCCAATTTCTACCCCACTTCCGTCAACTCGTAAGTTATCCTCAAGTATGAGTCCTAGCAGATGAAGCGGAGAGGATTGAAATGTCTCGAGTATCGTATGCATCAGCAGTGGGAAGTCTTATGTATGCCATGATTTGTACAAGACCGGACATTGCACAAGCAGTGGGAGTGATTAGTAGATTCATGGGGAATCCTGGTGGAGAGCATTGGCAAAATGTGAAGAGGATCCTTAGGTATATAAAAGGAACCTCAAATGTTGCATTATGTTATGGAGGATCAGAAGCAGTTGTTAGAGGCTATGTTGATTCGGATTTTGCAGGTGATCTGGATAAAAGGAAGTCTACTACTGGTTATGTGTTTACCATCAATGGAGGGGCGAGTAAGTTGGTTATCCAAGTTACAAGATGTGGTAGCTCTGTCTACTACTGAAGCTGAATACATGGTCGTCACCCAAGCATGTAAAGAAGCTATCTGGATTAAAAGAATAATGGGGGAACTTGGTCACAAGCAACAACAAATTGTTGTGTATCGTGATAGTCAAAGTGCCTTACACATTGCAAGGAATCCAAGCCTTTCATTCGAGGACAAAACACATAGGAATAAGATATCATTTTGTTAGAGAAGTAGTAGAAGAAGGAAGTGTAGATTTACAGAAGATCCACACTGAGAAGAACCTAGCAGATGTAATGACAAAGCCGGTTAATGCTGACAAGTTTATACGGAGTCGATCCCTCTATGGCCTATCGAAAGCATAAGCAACATGGATGTGAGAGAAGAAGACATAGTGTGAAGATTTGATTAATTTCATCAAAATCTTCAAGTGGGAGATTGTGAAGAAAGAAGTCCCACATCGGTGGGAACTTCAATTGGGGGGCTCTCCTCCTTCTTATAAAAGGAGCCCCTCCCTCCTTATTTCAATATCCCAAAATTTCTTTCCTTCTCTAAGTATTAGAAAGTGTTGTCATTCTTAGGACTAGAGAAGGGGTATGTAATTTTTCTTTCTATTATAAAATTTCCACTTTTGTCTATTATTGTTATTCAATTTTTCTCTTCTCTATTTTAGTTGAGTTCTTGTGCAAGTAGTATGATACCTAAGATGTAAACCCAATACCAAGCTTCTTGATAGAAATACTCTCGCATTGCAGCAAATATAGTCAACACAATAACACTCAACAAAAACATTGACCAAACTGATTCTCTGGGACTGTACCTGTAGTTTAATATGAAAGAGGAGTCTTGTGCTCAACATTAAAATGATCCTATAAAATGAATTAAATGTAACATTTATTAATTGATCAAACATTTAGTTGTAGATTGTTTTGAATAAAAAATAAATAAAAAAACTACTCATTATGCCTTCATTGTGTAAGACATACGTAAAAGTCAAGGATGAAAAACTAAGTGTCTACAGATCAAAATGTGTGAACCGTAATGTGTGAGTTGTTCAACAAAACTTCAAATCAAACAGGACTTAAAGGAACAAAAGATACCCCTTTGTTTCTGTTTTTTACCCAAAAAGTAAAGGAAACCCAATGACTCACACAGAAAAGACAATGATATGGATTTGCTTATCACTAATTTATGCTGAAAATAATTGAATAGTTAAAGCGAGGGCATAGACAATAATTTAACCTCCAATATGCTAAAACAATAAATAAGTTAACAACAACACATCCAAATTTCTATATCCAGCCAATAAACCTCAATCCCATTCAAACATTCTTTCCCTTCTTCACTATGTAATATCGAAGAAAAGCAAAGGGAAAAAAAGGCAAATTGAGCATTCTAGAGCAACTCTTCTAGCTTAATCCTCATATAATTAAAATCTCAAACACAATTCACACAAGCACATATACACACGAAACAATCAATCACATACAGCGACATTAACATCCTCCAAAATCTGAATAAATCAACGTGGCATTCCTAATCCAAACTTCAAACCCAGATTCACAATTAACAAAACCCACTCCCACACGAAAACATTTGGAGCGTTCAGTTGCCGGTTCTGAGAGTTCAGTCTCAAACCAGCAAAGGGAACAACGCATTTATGGCAAGAGATTGTGAAAGGCGCCATTTGGAACCAACCCCACGACTCAAAATCCGATTTTTCCGGCTTCTGAGCTCAAATGGCGCTATGATCTGCACGAAACGCTGGAAATGGATAAGTGGGTCGGCGCTAGTATGAGGGTTTGAGAAGGCGATGATATCAAAGAGAAGGGAGTGTGGGAAGGAATGAATGGAGGGAGACGGTGCAATGCAATGCAAGTGATGATGGAGAGTTCAAAGGAGGAACACTCTGATTTAACCGTGGCTTGGCTTCGATGACGACAACGACAAGAACATCAACATTATTCTCAACGTGAACAGCACACACTCCTTTGGCATTTTCTGTCTTGTCAAATACATCGATAAAATTCAAACCACGGATTTCATTTTTAATTAATTAACAGTGTATAAAAATGAAAATTTTCTTTTATTTGTCTATTTTCTTTCCTTTTTGGTTTAGGGTTTAAATTTTTTAATAAATTTAATAATAAAATTATTATTTATTTATCAATAATTCAATATATATATATATATATATATATATATATTATTTCAATTTAATAATATAAATCAATACATTGTTTTAAAAAATTATAATTTAGAACATTAAAATTTATAAAATTTATATTTTTTATATTAAAAAATTTAAATACCTATATATTTTTTATTTGATAAAATTTCACATTATTTGTGTTTTAGTCATTTTTACACTTTTAATTCAAGTTATAAGGATAAAAATAATCAGTGTTTAAGAAACGAAGAATATGAGATAATAGTATGTTTCAATAAGGAGAATATTTTTTGTGAAAGTGAAATTTTTTTAATTCTCTTTTTAAAATTTTTAACTTTATATATTATCTTTATAATTAACTTTATTATAATAAAAATTATTTTTTTATTAATTACACATGCGCAGACTGACTCGTTCAGTCCTACAGGTTAACCGAACGGGTTAGTAGGACGAGCCAAAAGCGGATTGATAGATTGAAAATATTAATCCACACTCACATAATTATAGCGGACTAACAAGTTAGTCACCCTCAACCATCCTTAATTTTTATTGGTATGCCAAAATGGTAATACATCGGGTGTAGCTATCTTCTCATACCCCATAATTTTTTTCATAGACTTTTATGCTCTAAGAAGTCTAAGTTAAATATATAGAATATCTTTTTTATAATTTTAGTTTTTAACTTAATTTTTTTTTAATTGTGTATAACTTTTATAGCACCATTCTTTGATTATTTAATTTTTATTGTGTTATTATTTTCAGTGAAAGTTTTTTTTCTTAACGATTAAAGATAAATAATTATTAAATATTATATATAAATTAGATGTCATCCGTTCAAATTGAAAAAAAAAATCTAAATTTTTCAATTTAACACAGTATCACGAAAAGAAAGTTTGAATTCCGGAACAGAAGAATGAATTGAGGCAAAACGCGTGGAACGCGCGAATAAGCTGGAAACCCATATTTGCCCGTTGCGTTACAAGCAAAACCATGAACTCATGCCCATTTCTGTAAATTCACCTTAGCTTCCAATTTTACCCTCCTACATAATACAAATTCAATTATATAACATGATATTCCATTAAAAATACTTCAACATTTAGAATTTTTTATTTATAAAATTTAATTAATAATAATATGTTTAGTTAATTTTGTCAATTAAAATATCAGTTAAAAGTTTTTGGAAAGAAGTAATTTTTTCCTAAAATAATCGAAATTGGACATGTGATATCTATATAGATGATATTTATGGGCATTTATTTAGTTATATATTTAATTAAAAAAAATAGAAAGGTTTTTGACACCGACCGCAATCGTGTCCATTTTGGTAATAACATGGTGGGAAGGTGGATTTTCGTTGCGTATATATAACCTTTATCACGCTCTTCTTCCACGTAAGACAGTTTTCTTCTTTGTCTTTCCCTTAGTCGAAGGGATTCATCTTTCATCTCCCAAGTATGTTCCGACAATCCCATTTCCTGTTTTTGCTGCCTCTCATGTCAAATATTATGCTTTTTTTGTTGGATCACACATTCATGCTTTGAAAATTATGCTTCGTTTCTGTGTGGCGGTCGTGTTTTGCTTATTATTATTGATTTTCTTTTGTTATTGATGGGTTTGATTCTGATTTGTGCGAAAGTGAGACGGATCTGTGGCAATTTTCGCTTGTTTATGTTGTTGTGTTGTTAAATTTCGATGCTTTTGTGGATTTTGTTAGTGGGTTTTTGTTGTCAGCTTGTTTTGAAGCAAAATTTACTCTGGATATGTTGGGATTAGTGGCATTTGGCAATGAAATCACGTGCATTTAGTCCATGGTTCTAGACTTTGTATTAGATCTGCTTTGGTCTTAGTGGTCAACTTGTAGTTAATGCTGAAAATGACTTACGTTTGCATGTGTGTGCTAGATCTCCTTCACTTTCTGTGACGCTCAATCTGTGTTGTGTATCTGAACTCAGCGATGAGTGCAGCATCTGCTAGTCCTTCCGCCGCTCAAATCCTCTCGCTGTTCCGCTCTCTCCTACGCGTTTCACGAGATTTCCCCGATTACAACATCAGGGAATACACCAAACGACGGACCATCGATGCGTTTCGTCATAAGGCCGCTCTGTCCGACGCGTCTTTAATTTCCTCCGCCTATTCACACGGCATGTCTCAGCTCGCCGTCGTAAAACGACAGGCCGTTGTGTACTCTCTCTACGCCCCTTCGCTCCGCAGCGTGATGGAACTACAACAAGCCCCTTCTAATAGCGGCAATCTGTAACTACGACGAGTTTAGGATTTAGGGTTTATGCCTCTTTTGTGATGCTACTTTGTTACTTGCTGTATAGAGTTAGTAATAGTTTATCTTGGTATTGATTCAGGTTCTGAGGACTAATCGGAGACGTGTGTTTCCTCAATCTGTAACGAAGTGAAGATCTTTTCAGGTCTCAACCAACAATTGCTCTATAATATCAAGCAGTCATCTTTTAGGACATATTTATACATTTTTTTTAATTTGAGGACCACTCTCTTATAATAAATGGAACACCTGTTTCAAGGGTTTAGAACGACTGATCTAGTTGGGTTACCTGAAAATTTGATATTTTTTTTTTTTGAGGATGATATCAATATGGTGACGCGCTGCAACTAACACCTGCTTCAGGTTTCTATTAAACTCTCACACCAATAACTAACTTACTGTGTCTATTTAAAGCAAGTGCCCATACGTTTAACCTATATTTTATCTAATTCATAACCAACATGCCTTCTATGCTTCCCAAACTTATACAAGATGTCAATGCTTTAGACTTAAACAACAAGATCACTTGAATGGTAGTCACATTGAGTATGACTTGGACCTTGAAAGCTGGTCACAATTGGGAATCAAAGGGGCTCTTTTATGGCCTGCATCAGCAACTTGTCTGACCTTGTGTGATTGCATCCCAAGACTGATTCATGATGGGGTTATAGATTCATATGGTAAGAGTAATAACATTAACTGATTCTTGTTATACATTATAGTACCTCTTATGTCAATTTTGAGAGATTACTAATCATATATTAAGGAGGGGTTTCATGGTTTTTGGTTTTTGGCATTGAAGGAATCCCTGGCAGAAGACAGAAAATTCAACTCTCCCCAAATATGCCTTTGATGGACACAGAAAACTTTCCATGGCGTGGCCATGACAAGTTACACTTTGATCATCTTGTGCAAGAGATGTAGACCATGAAGTTAGGAGAATGGTGGCTTTGCAACACAACTTATAATCTTGAGCCTGCAGTGTTTTCCATATCACCAAGACTCCTTCCAATTGGTCCATTGATGGCAAGTGATAGCATCAAAAGTTCAGGGAAGAAGACACGTCTTGTTTGGAGTGGTTAGATCAGCAGCTACCTCAATCTGTTGTGTATGTTTCCTTTGGTAGTATGGCCGTAATTGGCCCCAACCAATTTAAGGAGTTAGCTCTTGGAATTGATCTCCTTGACAAGCCTTTTCTTTGGGTTGTACGTGCAAGTAATGACAACAAGGTAAATATTAATACATACTCTAATGATTTTCATGGAAAGAAAGGTAGAATTGTAGGTTGGGCACCACAGAAGAAGATATTGAAGCAGCGGCTTGCTTCATTAGTCACTGTGGTTGGAATTCTACTGTGGAAGGTGTATGCTGTGGCACACCCTTGTGCTGGCCATTTGCAAAAGATCAACTTGTTAAGAAGTCATACATTTGTGATGTTTGGAAGGTTGGAGTAGGATTAGACAAGGATGAAAATGGAGTGATATCAAAGGAAGAGATAAGGAAGAAGGTGGGGATGAAGACGTAAAAGCAAGATCGAGAATGAAAGAATTGACCATGAATAACATAGCCAAAGGTGGCCAGTCTTCAAAAAATCTAGAAAAGTTTATCAACTGGGCACAGTAATAATACATTAGGCAATACTTTCGTATTCGAAGTTTTTTTTTTTTTTTTTATTTAAATGTTTGAAATTTATTTTGTCCCCACATTTATGTACTAGACAAGTTAATCTACAAAAATTGAAGATGTTAGGAGCTGTCGTATAAAACTAGTTGATACTTCTGACTTTTGTCAGTGGCTGGAGTTGCCTGTCAAACACACAAGTACCTTACACCATGTGGTGACCCTCACAAAATTATTGTCAACGAGGGATTGGAAGAAATTTCACACTTTTGTAATGAGTATATTCCTTTGGTTTTGATAAATTAAATTGAACGATGTTAATTCATGAAAGCATGAGCCAACTTGGAGAAATCACTTTCCATAAACAAAAGTTTCATAAAAGAACTGTTACGCCCCTCAATAAAATCCAACTCAAACTCGTGGATATTTGATACTATGTTGACCACACAAGGATATGAAGTTTGTAGATTTTGATGATGATTTAAAAATAAAGGACTTAGAGATTTGAAAACTTGTATTCTTATGTAATAACTCTGGTTTTATGTTTTTGAGTCTGTAATATTAGAGTCTAAGATAGCTAATACATAAACCATCCTTTAAAAGTTCTAAAAATTCATTTTTATCAAAATTACACTGTGATAATCAATTATCACCCTGTACAATTGATTATTACAGCAAAAAAATCATTTTCAGGAAATCCTATTTGTGATAATCGATTATCCTGGCCCAGTTTTATTCCCCTGCGAATATGACTCTGAAGATAATCGATTATTTGCGTCTGTTATGTGTTTTAAAATTCAAATTTGGACCAAGTTTCAAAAACCCTATTCTCAATTCATCTGTTTTCGAAAATCCCCAATTTCTAGACCATATTTTCTCTACTTAAGGTTCTCTAAGGCTCTATGCAAATAGAACAAACATTTTTCATACAAAAGTTAGAGCTGTGACTGCTAGAGAACTTTTTATAGGGAAGAAAAATGGGTTTTTGAAACCTAGTGTGGGCTAGAAGCGATAAGAATCACTGAGTGAATTTCTTGGTGGATTATGTGTTGTGTCGTCTCTAGGAAAAACTGTTCTTCATCCTTTGTGGATTCAAAGGACGTGTTCATCTCTTGTGTGACTCAAGAGAGGTGTTTTCTTTACCTTATCTTTTCAATTTGTAATCTGTTTGTAAACTGTGATTATAGTGATAGTGTTAATTATCTGTTTGAGTGATTAACAACTGAACGTAGGGTCTTTTGATCCGAACCAGTATAAATCAACTGTGTAATCTTCTTTTCCTCATCTATTTACTTTACAGAGCATTTTAATCAGTGAAATTTGGGAAAAATTTTAAAACCCTAATTTTTGTTTAAGAAACCAATTCACCCCCCTCTTGGTTTTTGTCCGTAAACGCAAACATCCCACTGCGCGATTCTAACAAGTGGTATCAGAGCTTGCTTTTAACAAGTGGTATCAGAGCTTGCTTTAATAATCATTCAAATTTTGAAAATGGCCAGACAAAATCAAACATTTGCTGAGGGTGCTTCTATCAGTAGACCCCCACTTTTTGCGGGAAAAAATTATCCTTATTGGAAAGTAAGAATGCAAATATTTTTGGAGTCTGTTGATAGGGGTATATGGGATGTAATTTTAAACGGTCCTTTTATTCCTAAAATTACTGAAAATGGAGAAGAGGTACCAAAACCATTTTCTAGATGGTCGGCTGAAGAAAATAGAAAACCCCAATATGATGTTAGGGCTAGAAATATAATTTCATCTGCTTTAACCCTTGATGAGTTTTACATAATATCTGTTTGCAAGAGTGCTCAAGAAATGTGAGAAATGCTAAGAGTAACCCACGAAGGTACCGATGATGTAAAAAGAGCAAGGAAGAACTCACTAATTCAAGAATATGAGATGTTCCGGATGCAACAAGAAGAAACTATTTTTGATGTTCAAAAGTGTTTCACGCATATTGTGAATCATCTCACTGGGTTAGGTAAGATTTTTGATATTGATGAGTTAAATGTAAAAATTCTTAAATCTTTGGATAGGAAATGACAACCAAAGGTGACGGCCATCACAGAGTCACAAAATCTTGCTACCATGTCTATGGCGGCTCTCTTTGAAAAGTTAAGAGAGCATGAACTCGGAAGGCTAAACGATGAAGAAGACCAACACCAAATGAGAAACCTTGCCTTCAAAATCGAAATTTCTAAGAGCAAGAACGAGAATTTGAAATGCAGGGTTAATTTGAAATGCAGGGTGAATTTAAAATGTCAATGATGGGAGAATTAACATTCTTCCTTAGACTTCAAATTAAACAATTTAAAGATGATATTTTTGTGTCTCAAACCAAATACTGCAAAGAGATTATCAAGAAATTAGAAATGGAAACTTCAAAGGAAGCTAACACACCCATGGGAACATCATGCTATTTAGATAAAGATGAATCAGGTTTGGAAATTAATCAATCAATGTATAGAGGTATGATATGTTCTCTATTATACTTAACTGCAAGTAGACCTGATATTATGTATTATGTTTGTGTGTGTGCGTTAGATTTCAAGCATGTTCAAAAAAATCTCATTTAACTGCAGTAAAAGGAATTTTAAAATATTTAAAAGGAACTACAGGATTAAGATTATGGTATCCATCTGAAGCTTCTCCTAGTTTAATAGGTTATTCTGATCTGATTATGGTGGATGTAAAATAGATAGAAAGAGTACTAGTGGAACATGTCATATGTTAGGATCATCCTTAGTGTCTTGGCATTCTAAGAAACAAGCATGTGTTGTTTTATCCACAACTGAAGCTGAATACATTGCAGTTGGTAATTGTTGTGCACAAATCCTATGAATGAAGAAACAATTAGAAGATTTTAGTATTTTTCTAAGTAATATTCCTTTAATGTGTGATAATACAAGTGCTATCAATCTCACAAAGAATCTGGTAATGCACTTTAGAACTAAGCATATAGAGATTAGACATCATTTCTTAAGAGATCATATTAGTAAGGGTAATTGTAAAATTGAATATGTTGATACAAAATATCAATTAACAGATATTTTTACCAAACCTCTTATCAAAGATAGATTCTATGATCTTAGAAGAGACTTAGGAATATTAGAAATAGTCTAAACTCTGCCTAACTGTAAAATTTTGCATTTTGTACTGGAATAATCGATTATTTTGGGGTAATAATCGATTATTGAAGCTTAAATGTATGATTCATGAAATTTCTCTGTGTAATAATCGATTATTTGGGGAAATAATCGATTATTTGTACCTCATTAACCAAAATTAGTAATTTCTCTCTAGAATAATTGATTATTTCAAGTAATAAATCAATGTATTTTTTGGGCAGGGATGAAGAATTTGCTTAAATTTTGTAATAGTGATGAGAGTGAAGTGTTCTAACTTCTTCAAATTTATTCTTTGTTTGTACTTCATTTTCTTTAATGAATAAAAACTTTATTATTGCTTTGATTAAGGGGGAACTATTTTTATCTTATGCACTTATTAAGGGGGAGCTTTCATTTTTTTATTATAATCAAAATAGGGGGAGAAATTATTTAAAGTCTCTTATGTTTAATAATTTTAATGTTGTCTGGTATGTTTAATGTTTTTGTTAGCTGTGACAGATAAAACAGGTTATTACAAAGGGTTTTAAAGGAAATTTTGATCATCATCAAAAAGAGGGAGATTGTTAAACATACAAGGATATGAAGCTTGCAGATTTTGATGACGATTCAAGAACAAAGGACTTAGATATTTGAAGACTTGTAATCTTATGTAATAACTCTGTTTTTATGTTTTTGAGTCTGTAATATTAGAGTCCAAGATAGCCAACACATAGGTCATCCTTTAAAACATCTAAAAACTCATTTTTATCAAAAATACATTGTGATAATCGATTATCACTCACGATAATCGATTATTATAGCAAGAAAATTGTTTTCAGGAATAGCTCACTATGATAATCGATTATCACTAAGGATAATCGATTATCAGTAAGGATAATCGATTATCACAGGCAAATAATCGATTATTTGGCTAGATAATCGATTATCCTAGTCCAGTTTTGTTCCTCTGCAAAAATGACTCTGGAATAATCGATTATCACTAAAGATAATCAATTATTTACGTCTGTTATGTGTTTTGAAATTCAAATTTGGACCAATTTACGAAAACCCTATTCCCAATTCTTCTATTTTTGAAAATCACCATTTCCCAGACCCTATTCTCTCTACTTAAGGTTCTCTAAGGCTCTCTGCAAATCAACAAACTTTTTTCATACAAAAGTTAAGAGCTGTGACTGCTAGAACTTTCTGTAGGGATGAAAAATGGGCTTTTGAAAACCTAGTGTGGGCTAAAAGCGATAAGAATCATTGAGTGAGTTTCTTGGTGATTTGTGTGTTGTTCCGTCTTTAGGAAAAGTTGTTCTTCATCCTTTGTGGATTCAAAGGAGGTGTTCATATCTTGTGTGACTCAAGAGAGGTGTTTTCTATTCTTTATCTTTTCAATTTGTAATCTGTTGTAAAACTGTGATTATAATGACAGCGTTAATCCTCTTTTTGAGTGATTAGCAACTGAACGTATGGTCTTTTGATCCGAACCAGTATAAATCAACTTTGTAATCTTCTTTCCCTCATCTATTTACTTTACAGAACATTTTAATCGGTGAAATTTGGGAAAAATTATAAAACCCTAATTTTTGTTTAAGAAACCAATTCACCCCCTCTTGGTTTTTGTCCGTGAAAGTAATGAAGATCTTATTGAATTACTCTAGCAAAGATTTTGTTGATTTGATGAAGTCAAGAATGGAGTCAAAGGAAACTTTGTGGCAGTC